TAATACTAGTTTTTAGTATTTTTAGGGAATATAAAACACTTTAAGTACTTAATTTTCTCCCTATAAGGGGTTTTTTAGTAACTTAACCTTTATAATAAGGTATTTTTACCTTTTAAATTTAATAGTAATAGCTAAAATCCCTTTAATTATATAGTAAATATATATATAAGGGGCTTATAACCTATTAAGAGATATATATATATATATTAACTATAACTAACTAAGGTCTTGGGCCGGGTAGTCTAGCTGATATACAAGGTAGATACCTCAGGCACCTTTAACATAAATCAGGGCATTTGATATAGAACGCCAAGAAAGTATGCAAGAGAAGCCGTCCATCCACAGCTCAGGTACGCACACACTACAAACCGCGAAGCATGCATCTCGATGGCGCATTACTATGCTGTTGAATGGTCATTAACACCAAATTGAACAAGCGCCAAGCCCCTTTGCAACGAGCGCACACAAGTTATGAAATAAGCGCGCCACGAACCCTAGGCAAGGGGAACATGCTGTGCCTTTCAACTCTGACACTCCTGGTACAAACTCCTGACACCATCTCAACCCTCTTCTACAAGTGATAGTCGAGGAACATTTGACAGGCGCGAAGAGTCTCCAATCAAGACCCAACCTATCCTGCTGGGCGGCATTGCATTGATAAGTGCCCCTGTCTGGGTTGGTATCTCAGCCAATGGTACGCAGAGACCTGAAGGAATGCCGGGCTGGACTAGCGTTCTGATGAGCAACAGACCTTTCCAGGGCGAGCGGCTTCATAGTTTCCAGGGTTGGTTCTGAGGTGTGCATCATCGTCATCATCATGAGCACCCAATATCAGGGTTTGTACTAATAATGAACGAGCGTCCAATCATTTTGCTGCAGGCGTCGCTACAGCAGCGGGCACACACACACACTCATAGGCTGAGACAGTCAGGATGCTGGAGGCTTGCTTTGGTTGGGCTGGACTGAACTGGTTCTGAACTATTTTGAGCATTTCCTTGCTCCATGGAGTTGGCTGTTGATTGTTGATGATGTTTATGATGGTTGCTTGGGCGTTTAGGTAACAAGCCCCCCAAACCTCCTATGGCGTGAGATGCTCTGCATTGGATCCGATGCTTCCTGTCCGGTCGTTATCTCGTGTTTCATTGTCACTATTCCTGTTCCTGTCAGTTGCAGTTGTTGCTGTGGTTGCCCTCTTTCAGGGCGTTCGCTACAGCGGGTTCGTGCTGTAGTTCCATCTGTAGCATCCCCTCTAATCAATGCTCCTTTTCTCGTCTATTTTTTTCTTCTTCCACAACATCCCACTCTTTTCGCCAGCGCGCGCGTGCAGTTCATTCTTGTCATTTGCAAAGAGGCTTTCGCTCTACTGATATTCATCCCTCCATCTCGCTTTTGGAGCCCTCCTAATTTAATTCTTCGAGATCACACGCCATCCTTCCCGCCCACTACCCGCGCCTCCATCATCACGCTTCGCTACGCTACGTGATCCCCAGGAGCCGGAACCTGTCGCAAGAACCGTGCTCTTCGGAGAGGCTCAGTCTTAGACTCAGACTCAGGCTTGACGGACCCTGGTCTCGAGGGACCCCTCCACCTGACTGCACTCAATCTCGTCTGCTGGTGCTGGGCTATCTGCTTTGTCCCGCCCGCCCCTCCATCAATCTCGTGCTATTGTCAAACATCCAACTTTGTTTTCCGCCTTTTCACTTGGTCGGCGCAACGCATTCCTCGGGCTCGCAACTGACCCTTGCTTGTTTTCGCCTCGTTTTCTTTGCCTCTGATCGCTCATTGAGCTTATGCTGCCCAAGTCGTGCCCAAGCAACACCCAACGCAACCTTACGGCAGCTAGTCTTTTGCGCCTGTCATATCAGCAACCTCGTCCAGACCATACAGAGCTCTGAAAAAAGCACCGCCCCCGATTTTATTTTTGCTTTGAGTGCCTCAAAACTATCCCTCGGCCGAATCATTTCATCCCCTGGCCCTTGCGCCCCTCCACTCAGCTTCTTGGAAGCCAACAGTTCTGCAGTCTCTTCAAGACGTTGAATCTGCGTTGTCTCCCGTTAAATACCGACCATCTCTCAAAACTGCACCCTTGTGCAAGTTTACTTCTCTTCTCTGCACAGCGAAACCCAACTTATTAACCCTCGACACTCAAGTGTCCCCTGAGCAGTCATGGTTTCCTTTTCATGTGAGGTACGTTATTCGGTGAAGTGCATTCTGCATTGTTTGCACTCCAAGCCGCCAAGTCTCGACTTTTTGTCCATTCCCATGGATTAGTAGTTATGCCTGCTATCCAAAGACTACCGCCGCTCAAGCCATCTTCATATCATATCCCCCTCCGTTTCCATATCTCTCAAACAAATGCCCCTCCACTCCCGTCAATACCAGTCCCAATGCCAATACCAATGCCCACCCCCCTAAACAAACCTCATACACGGCTGACATCACTCCCACCACACCATTCTTGTCATGAACTGCCTCCTTCAAGGGACACCCCTTCTTCCCCATGCCGATCTCCTGGCCCACCATAATCGTCTTGCCATGCTCTCGCCTCCCCTTGTATTCCTCAAATATCCCAGTACACCTCCCCGCCGAATCGAACGAGTCTCCATTGTCTTGCATCCCACTTATACCCTTCATGCCGTAGTTAATATCAGCTCCGTCCTCTGTCATACTAACTTACATACTACATACAGGCTTGCGGCGACGTTCTCACCAAGAAGAAGCTTGATCCTCATCGCAACCGCTGTCGCGGCGCTACCTTCACCTGCATTGATTGTATGGTGTATTTCCCTGGCGTTCAATACCGATCACATACCGTATGTACCAGTACCACAAGGCTTTCCGATAGCCATTAACCCCCTGATCTCGTGTAATCGTCTGACATCATATAGAGTTGTATGACCGAGGACCAGAAGTATCAAGGCGCGCTCTATAAGGACAAGAAGAACAAGAAACAGAAACACAGCCACCCCAACGATAACCAGCAACACTACACCCAAGACCAAACCATGGCTGAAGTTCAAGCTCTCCCCAACAACACTGGCAACATGAGCCACTACGCCTACGTTGAAGACGTCCCTGAGGATCAGTTCGGCTGGGCCGAGTATGAGGAAAGCAGTGATGATGAATCGCCAAACGGCCCGCCACCAGAGGCTCCCACACCTCCTTCTGCTGCCCCGGAGCCACATGTCGATGTATTTGAATTCCTCGTTGGAACTGGACAAACACCCAATGCTTCCAACATGAATCTCGACGCGGAGCCAGGCAACTCATTGGTACGATACGAACCCAAGGACAAGAGCGACGAATACGGCTTCATGGATGACGACGATGAGCCCACAGTCGAATATGGAAGTGGCCCCGTGCCTGCCGCCGAATTTGTTACACCCGCTTCAAAATCCGAAAGACGCAAAAGCCGGACCAGCACCGAGAAGAAGGACAAGAAGCGCAAGCGATTACATATCGATGTTCCCAGCGACCAGGTTATGACGGATGCCCCACCGGTTCTCCACTCAGGACTCACTGGCGGCATCAACCGTATGATGCGTCCGGTATTCCCCCCTTCCCCTGATTACTCCGGTGGTGACGCTCCGGAAGTCTCACCAGCGAGCCCTCTGAAGAAGTCAAAGCACTCCAAACATTCTAAGCACTCTAAGCACGCCTCTACTGGTCACAGCCTCTTTGGCATGATTGCTGGCAGCAAGCCCAAGTCCAAGTCCAAGACTAAGACCAAGTCATCAAGCAAGGCCAAGAAGAGCTCTTCCTCTTCCAAGAAATCCCATAAAGAGAAGAAGCCTCAGCAGCTCATCGAGTATCGCCCTCAGAGCAAAGATGGCAAAACAGACCCCAGCGCTGGACAAGTGGTCCTCTACAAGCCCCGAGCCGATGTCTTCCTCAGCTTCGTAGACAAGGGTCCTGAGAGTGAGAAAGGCGTCAGCTTAAACAGGGTTCTCAAGCGTTTCCACCGCGAACGTGAGGCTACTGGCAGCGAGCTGGGTAAGGGCAAGGAAGAGAAAGAACTCTGGAGATCCCTCCGACTTCGACAGAATGAACAAGGCGAGATTGTCTTGTTCTCTGTTGAGTGAGAGTCCAACTTCAAATCCAAACAAAACAAAAAAAGCAACAAAAGCAACAAAAAGAACAGCATTGGAAGATCAGGCCGAAAATCGGACAGACACCGGGCATGGGATTAAAGGAGTTTATGAGGATGATGCATTGAGACAACGTTTTTTTCCACGATACCTTTATCGACAAGCTTTTATTTTGTGTACAAGTTTTTGGGAACAGGTGGGATCGGAGGGTTCAGCTGGCTCGTCAGGTGTGTATCTGGCGGTTGCGAGTATTGGGGCCCTGGATCTCCATCAGTAATTGTGTATAGTATGTATACAAGGGAACGGACGGACATCTCTTGCTGGATGCAAAGATGGACCATTTTTCTTGGTGTCAAGATTTGTTCTTTCAAGACTATGCTTTGGGAAGCCGAATGGCAGATAATGGGCGGTTGGTACATCGGATGGATTGGAATGGATACCACGAAAGGATTGGAGCGTTTTTAAATAGCGGCATGAGGCTGCTCTGATGATACCCATAGGCGCTGAGCCTTGGTATCTCTTTGTCTTGTTTTTAACATCTCGCATCGAGGATGTGATTGAGCATATTAATATTTGTTCACCTGAATTGGATATCCTTGCAATATCAAATCTGATTAAGTCATTACATCACACGTAATGGTAAGATATGTTGAGCCATGGCTTCACGACGACATAATGGGCACTCGGGTTTTTCCCTCACCCAATCTCCTATACACTCCCAACAGAAGACATGACCGCATTGTGTTGCTGAGGGGTCTCTCATCTCTTCCAAGCACAGTGTGCACTTTCTTTGCTGTCCACCCTTGATGTAGCCCATGGTCTTGTCATCAGTCAGTTGAATACGTGGTACAGCCGCTGCTGGGGTGTGTGTGGCAGCAAAGATGTCGACTTTGGCCTTTGAGCTTGAAGCCCCTGTGGGTAGTAAGAGGTTGTTATCGCCGTTGTAGGCTCCGTCATGGTTTAGAGAGATATCATCAGAAGCCCCAAAAGCAGCGCGTTCGCGAGCTGCTGACTCGGTAATTGTAGATCGAACATGGGTATAGCCCTGAACCGCAAGTTGAATGACTAGCAGTACACCTAGGAGTTCGTATCCTGCACGATCGGGTGTATCAGGAACGGTACGTGTGAATACGTATCGTAGGGAAAGAAGTCTCTTGGACAGCTGATAATATGTACCACTGAAGTAGAAAAGGGCTAGAATAACGGCCTTGAAAGGAGCGCCTGATGTGAAAGAGCCCAGGTGTTGATCCAGGTAAGACCACATGCGCGCTTCGCGTCCTGGCGCCGAACCGTCATCTCGTTTGCGAAGGCTCTCTAACCGGCGCTGTAGAAGGTTGCGCAACCCAGCGCGTAGTCCAGGGAGCATCCGGGCCGCGATATAGGGGAGGAGAATGCTGGCAGCTACGTAGCCTGCGCGACGGCCAACAGCAGGGAGTTGGCCATCACGTGCATCTATCTGCACAAGATCGCAATACTCCTCGCCGAGAGTTCGATTCCCGGGGATTGTAGTGAGAGCAAAGTAGGCGAGTGTCGCGAGGGTCTGGATCTCGGGTGCGCGGGCGTGTGTGAGACGGGCACCGCGAAGGCGACGATGCAGGTCGCTGAGGATCTGTGTGAGGTGGCCGGTGAAGTATGCATCCTTTTGGTGAGAGCGAATGATGTCGGGGGCGGTGGCAAAGGGATATGGTGATGATGACGATGCTGAAGAGGAGGAGGAGGACATGATGGTTTATGATCGGCAAAAGAGAGCGCGCATGCGCATGCACGAGGTGTTACGAATGGAGGGGAGGATCGACCGTGGTCTGATTATCCGGGCAGTATGAAGGCGAAACAAATGAAGGCCAAAGTCGAGGATCGGTAGAGACCAGAAACAAAATTTGGTGAAGAAGGAAGATGATTGATAAATTGGCGGTTGGAGTTTAAGCAGCAAAACGAACCTCGGTCGGGACAAGGTTAAGCTGAGGCGCTAACATTTCGGTCTTCGGTAAGTACTCCCCGCGTTCCTCACCATGTGAGTGAAGATTTCCTCTTTAGGAAATGCTGTAAGTTAGGTAACTTAGGTAGTACGTAGTATGTACCTAGGAATTAATCAACCACCAGGTCAATACCTATGCCGCCGCGTTGTTGTCAATTATCTCATTCCATAACTTGAAAAGTAATAAAAGTAATATTGTGCACGATGTGGAGTGTTGAAGAATTTCATATACAATATTGGCTTTGCAGCTGTTGCATCTTGCTCTACCTTTAATATTTACAGCCGACAACTCATCCCTATTGTGGCCCTAGGGGTGGTTGATTGAAGTCAAACGGCGCCATCACGCCTTGTTCTGAACCTTGGAGCTGCATACTCAAAAACTCGTCCGTCACAAGTGTACCTAGCTCTTCGCCCCATTGAGCCATGAGCTCAGCTGTGACGTTGTGACCCAACTCTAGGCCGTTCATGAGATCTGGCCCAATGAGAGGATCTTCAGGGGGCATCACAGCCTGCGCATTGCGTGCCCGTACGACATAATCTTTGATCTCACCCATGCATGGCCAGGTGTGCTGTACTTCCTCCATTGCGTCAATGACGGTCGAGAGTGACCGTGCAATGTCTGAGTCTTCCCACGAGGCTCCCTGGAAGAACCTCTTCATCATAATGGTACCGGCTGCGGTGGACAGAGTCTGGACAAAGTCCAATGGCAATGAGCGGAACCGATAGTGTCGCGAATATGTTCTCATCAGGCGCAGGATAGCCTGCAGCGACTCGTAGCAGATCTCCACGTCTTCACTTTCAGCAATACCTTGTTTCTCGTACATATGCGAGGGTGGCCGGTGAAGAATAATCATGATTGTATGGAAGAGCATGCTTCGACTTGTCAGTATACAACGATGACGCGGCTTAGAGGGCAACTCACTGCATACGAAGCACCGAGGGTTGCACCACGCCTACAGTCCATTGGTTCCAGTGCAGAGTACCGGGAAGACTCGATAGCCACTTTGTGAGCGACACGTGTATTTGTCGTGATCTGGCTGCAGCTACGGTGGCGTCAACGTTACCTCGACGGTTCTCGAAGAGATCCGTGATCATGAGATGGGCGATCTTGCACAGCTCTGCCTGGTAGATGAAGGACCCAACAAGGGCAACTCCGTCTTCGAATTCTGTTGCGGAAGCACCTTTACAGATGTATGTGTCCAGCAAACCCTCCCAATCTGGAGGGTACTGCAGCCTGATAGTGTTGCGGACGTCTGATTCGCTGGGGTGCAGAGCTGGTGGTCTTCCGAAGTAGAGACTCAGTTGCTTATCGGCAATGAATATAGCCCAGTAGACTCGTCTAAGAATCTCCGTGTCACGGTTTGACGTTCCTTCTGTCGAAGCGTCCCAGTTGTTTGGGTCAAGGTGAAGGCCCATCTCGTGGGCAAGTCGGAAGGCCATACCAGCAAAGAGCCAGCCCTTTGACGTATGACCGACGCCAATCTCACGATAACCCAGCAGTGCCAAAGCCTGTAAGGTGGTGAGTTCTGGGCTGTCGAGAGCTCCGTAGATCAATTGCTGGGCCTGGTGGGCAAATATATCGGATACGGAGCGGGAATCGTCGAGCTGCATGGCGCCAAGCGAACAGATAGCAAAGAGCAGAGCATCTGAGTAGTATCTTCCGGAGCCAACATCATAGTCGCGTAAGAAATACTCTCTGTATATGAGCATATGGAACTGATATTGATACTTGAAATAGGCTGCCATGCACGTCTGGGAAGTCTCATCGTGAGGTGCGTAGACAAAGCTCGGGTCTCTCGGGCTGCTGGAAGCGCTCACTTCCGGTAAGTTCATCATGAGCGGTGTGGAGTCAGCTTCGAGGTGAGTAATTATCTCATCTGGGGATAATGAGACGTCTTGTGAGAGATGGATATGAAAAGCGCTGGTGCCGCCAAAGAACTGGGTGGCATGGCTCGATCGAGGGCGTCTCAGCTGTCCAGAACGGACCTGAGCAGCTACAACCTTGGGGTCAGTGTTTGACTTGGCATGGTCAATCTGCGACTTTTGTGTAACGTCGAGTGAGGCTGGTGGTGAGAGGGCGATCTCGGACAGCATCTCATCTCTTTCAGCGCTATCAGCAACGGCGAGCTTGCGAAGCAGTAGCTCAAGAGATGCCACTTGACCCTCTAGAGCTTGAACGTAACCTTTAGATATTGGCCTGGTTGGTTTTAGAGTTGGTGATAGTTCATGATTCTGGCGAGGTAGAGTCATACCGTTGCTTCTCTCCGCTACCGCTGAGTATACATTCGGTGCCAGCCTTGATACACCGCGAGCACGGTCGTTTTCGGTCACATTTTATCTTGTTAAGGGTTAGTTTTGAGGTTGATGAAAGAGCTCAAGACATGTGTATCGTACCTTGCGGCGACGACATCGTTCACAACTGTAGTAGTCATTGTGTCAGCGTATGAAAGTGGAGTAGGCTTCGATGAGGGGATTACTCACGATATCTTGATGGACTCGCCCATTGGCGTTTCCTCCATGATGAGGGATGTGTAGATGAGAAGACGCTTGCGTATGGATGGGTTTCTGAGCGCTGATCACTCTTCTTAAGACAATTAGTAGTCGTACCATGGATCGTTGAGTGGTAGAAACGGCTCATTTAGACGCCAAGGGGAAATCGCTAGCTACTACTGGCTGTTTTTAGTGGCTTGTCACTTGACCTTAGCATTCGACATTCCTACGGAGTAGGTAGGTAGTATCTAATCACTATGTGTTACCCATACTATTCCAAGGCATGACAGAAACATGAACAGATTAAGCAGGAGAACTATCATCTAGAGATGAATGATTCTGGTGGATTGACTTGAATTGTAGACGGCGTGATTTCGTAGTGATTTCGCCTGCTCGACGTCCCGGGTAGCTCCAAATGATATGATCTGACAATTGTCTGACCTGTATTTGAAGACTAAGGATATATGGCTATCGTCGACATTATCCAAGACAAATATTAAGTCTTGATCGAAAGGCCTTCTTAAAAATA